AGTGGGAGAACTTGCACAATTGGTGGCTGACTAAATACTTTTTTGCCCCACTGTAGTTTAGGCACCAGAAGATAATTGAAAGCTTTGGATTATTTTGAAATTTCTTACTTTAGAAAGCAAGTAATGCTTTTTCTTAAAAAAACATACATGCAGAGTCCTGGCTTGAGACCAAGCACAGAAAGTTTCAAAACCCATTTATTTTTAATGAAGGGTGTATACAAACAGAAGTATGATTAGGAGGAAGACGCCTGCTTGAAATTGCAGAAAAATAGTACCTGTGAAACTCTGAGTTATAGTCTATAAGTTCATTTTCCTAGATTATGATTAATGATGTAGCCAGGTGAAACTTGAGTTCCCACCCTGGGCTCTTTGGATAACATCCAAATGCAATTATTTTACTTGCTCTCACCCTCCTCTAGTTCTTCCCTCCAGCAAGACAGAACCTGGTGCAGAAAATATCCAGTTCAGATTAAAGAATTCAGAGCCTAGAGATCTGTTTTGAGCATCAAATCTCATCATCTTTCCATGCAAATTCCATACTTGATTACTTGATGTTTCTATTATTTCAGAGTGTTATCTGTGTATGTGTTTATGTGTGGGGATAACTATTTTTGCTGTTTCTAGTTAAAAAAATAAAAATAAAAACTGCTGATCATTTGCATCTTGTTATATATGGACCAGTTGTTCCAAAGAGTGAGTATGAGGAGTCATCTCACAAGCTCTTGCCCGTTTTCTGAATGTTTGGCTTCCATAGAAAGTAAGCCTCAACAGTGTTTTGTAACCTTGTTTCCTGCAGAGGTGTTGAACTTCAGCTCCTATAAATACAGAGAAATCTGGGAGTTGTAATTTCCAGACATGTGGATAACACCAAGTTGGGAAATGCTGCCCTAGGCCCTTTTATTTATCTTAGTATTCTACCCAACTGCTTGTTGAAGAAACAAACCATGTTTACTTTTTGGTGTTCTGGCTAAAGAGTATGATGTCCATAGGATGTTTGATAACAAGCCATCGTTTTTTCAAACTTATTATTTTATATTACTGTATATTATTTTTTTCTGCTTTATAATGCTTAACTTCTCCCCAGATCACCCCAATTTTGTTGGGATGAACAAACTTTTATTGTGGCTTTATTATATCTTCTGTACTGCAAAACTGCAGTGCTGTACATGCCAATGAGAAGGAAGCTCTATATCTAGGGGGGCATATTTTCAGGAAAGTGTGTACAAGATCTTAGCTTTAATTATGATTTGGAGGAAGAAAATACATTTATGACTGTGTGTTCTTTTTAAAAAGTAACACTTAAGGGAATCTTTCTTGATGCAGTGCCCTCCAGATCTATGACATAACAGCCTCCATAATCCCTAGACAGCATGCCCTTAATGGGAATTATAATCCAATACATTTTGTAAATACCAGGTTGGAATCACTAATATAATGGAAACTGTCTTCTGTGTCTATAGGAAGAAACTGGTTGTTTGTTGATCTTCTATTTTGTTCTAATTTCTCTAGATTTGGCAAGACTTTATGTTTGCGTGTGCCCTTTATCCAACCAACCAGCACTACTTAGACTCAATAAGAGCAGAAATTACTCATCAGGTATGTTATTCTGTACATGAGGATCAAGATACTGATAGACTATCACAAAGAAGTAAACCTTCATGTCAGTTGAAGGCTTATCGGCAAATTTATCTTGGTCCAAGCAAGCTAATTCTACTGTTACTCCACCTCTCCCTTCCTTCCTACAATGCACTGAAAGATGTTAATGGTTGGTATACAAACTTTCTAACTTGGTTAACTGTCCACGAGTTGAGTAATATTCTTGAAAACTCTTTCCCAGAACTCTTGTGTCAAAGGTAGGCAACTCCTGTTCTTTGGGTTGGATGCAGCCCAGGGTCTCTCCATCCTGTGTGACACATCCTTACAATCCCCATGAAGCTTCCATAGGATACTTAAAAAAAACAAACAAACCTAATTTCCACATGGAGCAAGAAGCGTGTTGCAGTTGTTAACTATCTTTTCCTCATATGTTGAATATTCTCCATATTCAAAAAGCTTTCACTGATGCCAAGGGACACCTCTTAGTTATTTTACAAGGATATGGGCCAAGCAGGAGGAAAGAGATGTGGAGGGAGGGAAGGAGACAGACTTGGGGGGGGATTTAATGGATTGGATTATTGTGTGTGCTGAAGAGATGTAGAAAAAAGAGAATGGATGCTTTCTTTCCCCAAAGGAAGTACACTGTATATTAATGTGATTGTGGACTGCCTTTCATATAGAAAAGTGTTCATTGATTAACTTGTGTGGTTGATCATTTAATAACCAATTGTAAACATTGAAAGTGGGCCAGTATAATTTTGAGCTGGTAGGATTAGCCCTTTCATCACTACCACCTCTGGACTCCAGCCAATTCCATCACTGAAGAGTTGCTTGGATTCATCGAGTTTTGGATGCATTATGAAGAAGAGACCATTTCTGTGATGCCAAGAGCAACACTGGGGCAAATTCCAGCAAAGGGGACAGGATCCAAAGCTTCCAGATGGATCCTATAAACTATTCACTGAATTGGACTTAAAATATATTCCTGTTTTGAGTTGGGTTCTGAAGTCTTCAGAAACAGATACTTTTAGCTGGTAGAATTAATTTGAAATTCCTGGGTTGTTTTCAGGCTAGGTTTATCAAAGCAAGCCCCAGTTGCCTTTTTCCTCTCTAGGGTGAATAAACAGAGTCCTTTTTGCATTGGGCTGAGAGAGATTCTCTTATCCTTTCTGCTCCCAGAACTGGAAATAGGAGGCACACCAGTTACCATATTTTTAAAGGGCAAAACCTATTAAGGTTTTATGTATTCACCTAAAGGAGAGGAATGTATCAATCATTTTGAAAATGAGTGTTACATGATGATGACTCAGGAGTCAAAATTGTCTGAGCCACTCTTGGGGATATACAGTACAGTGCAAAAGTTTTAGGCAGGTGTGAAAAAATGCTTTCAAAAATATATATTGTAATTGTTTATGTTTATCAATTTA